TCCTCTAACAATTGCTTCTTAGGTAGCTGTCTGGGTGTGACCATTACTAGCCCGCAGAATGGGGGCTGTCATGGCTGGGTGAAGCCATAACTGATAATGTCAACTTTGCCTTCTGAGTTCTGCTATCTATGAGTTACTAATTTAGTATGGAAGCAATACTGAGCTCCCTACAAATAGGGAAATAGCTTCGTTTTGAGTATGACATTCTTAGTCTTCCATGGTATGTGTAGATGCCAGAAGAGTATAAGCCAGCTGTTTCACAAAAGACACAAGAAGGGTTAGGCAAATAGGATATTGCAAAAATTAGCCCTGTGTATAAATTGTTCATATGGAAACAGTATGTTTGATTTTGTTTCATGACTATTGACTGGTATAGCTATTATGTCCCTACCAGCTATATTAGAACTCAAAACTGTCTAGTACTGTATACCATGATTGTTAGAAAACACCAGGCTGGAGTGAGGCTCTCACTAATTTCAAAACCTCTACAGATGTCCCATTTTACTGTGAGCTAGAAGAGGGTGCATGTTGGAAGGAAATAGGCAAATCACTGTTGTGCAGAAGTTGAGTAAGGCAGTTCTGAAAATAGAACAGTAATTGTAAAGCTATTTCTGGCACTGTTTTTCTTGCCTATGTGTCCCTCTTGTCCCTATAATTTCTGAGAAAGATAGCTGTTATAATAAATTTTGTAAGAAAGAGTTGCTGATTTTATTCCAGAAGTAATTATATCATAAAAAAAAAATCTGCACTTAGTTATTCTATGTAGGGTTTGGGTTTTTTGTTTTGTTTTCACAACATAGGTAGAGATCACAGTAGAACTTCTAGGACACCACATAATTTTTCAGATGCCTATTTTGAGGCTGTTTAGAGCCATGGAATACAATTGGAAGGCAGTAGTTTATGGAAGGAAAAATTATTTGTGCACTGCCTGTAACCCATATTTCTTTTAGGTTATCTTTTATATCAAACAGTACATGTAGTCTGTTTGTCTGTAACAGGGATACTGTTAAGGGGAGATAATATACAATCATTGGTTCTAATGTTGATCTTACAAAGAAATATTTTCTTTAAATGTAGATAAATGTTATTTGCACATTTGCCTGACTGCTGTCTAAGTTAGTCTGTTGTGCCTGGTCTGACTTAATTAATTCTGACTGCTAAAGGTTTTCAAAAGAGAAAAATCCCAGTATTATGAAGAAACCCATGAAACTTACTTTATTGATGGAGAATATCTTTTTTCATGGATAAATGAAAGAAACCCTGTCAATGGCTGAAGCCTGTTAATAATTTTTTGTCTTACTCTGTTATTTGTCTTTGGTTGGTCAACTTTTACAAGATTTATTTTAAGTTAGCATATTATGTCTGCTTTAAAAAAAAACATGCTATTTGCTCCTATAGCAGTCTGAGAGCAGTCTGACTAGACTCCATCAAGTTATCCTTACTTTTGCTTTGCATTCTGTCTCTTCCTAATGCAAAAGAGGGTTTGTTAGAGTGCTGTGGGCTTGTTGATAGCATGTAGTCGTTACTCAGCGTAAATGTGTGCAGTGCTAAAGAGCTTTGTGTAAGATGTTCTCCATCCAGTAGAATTAATAGCCAAAGTGTTATATTTCAGCATCTGGTGTGGGCTATTTTGCTTTGCCTGCATGGAACAGATTCAACCACTGAGAAGTTTTCTCCAGCTGGTGGCAGAAATAATGAAATACTTGTAATCAGTACATCTCTAATAGGTTCAGGCTCTCTCTGGGGAGGGTGTTGCTAAGTTTTTCACAGCTAGAAGCCACTCTCTGTACACCATTTCAAAGCCCAGGCCTGCTGGAGGCGGGCGGGGGTGAAAGGAGAATTTTCTTCCTAAAGAGATGTCAACTTCAACATTTTAGTGTTAAGGTCTTCTGAAGATGGGATTGTAAAAGTGGTTGCATTCATACGTAACTTTTCACTATAGAAATAAAACGGTAAATGGCAGCCCTTGTTAAAACAAGGGCATTTTATTTTCTGAAGCTCAGTAAATCAGGAAATAGAAAAAGAAAAGCACAAATTTGCTATATATCTTCAGCTTTTTCCTTTAATATTTACATTTTGTGTTAAAAAAAAATCCAGATTTCACAATATTGAAGATAATAGCAGATACTATTGTTTTGCTTTTTTGTACTGTAAAACATTCACATCTGTCATAGGAATGTCATAAGGGTTACTATGTTGTGTGCAATGGGCACTTTCACTGGTGGCAGATGTAGAACCTCATTTAGATATGTATTGCTTGAGTTCAAGAAGATGCTGTTTTAGTTTAAGCAGAAGAGGTTTATGGTACATATTTGGCAAATCTGATTCTTGTGATGCATAAACATGCTACCTGTAAATGCTGCCTTGTTATCACAATGCATAGAAGTGCTCGCTAAGATTTTTCTACAGCCTTCCACCAGGACTCCATCTGTAACAATTTTGCATTAGATTTTCTTTTGTCAACATTGTCTTCTGGTATAAAGAAATGTTAATGCATTTCAAAAATTTGGAAATACCATTTTAATGGTTACTTATTAATCAGAACAAAAGCAGGCAATGACACTGAATTGTTTTGTTTTGCTTTAAGGAAAAACATATTTATCCACAACAGCTGCTTGCAGGGAGGCATCATAATAAATATTACCTCAGTACAAAGAGTGCCATGCATCATTTTCTGGACAGCCTGTGTGATAGGGTAGTTATAGTGACAGTGAAATAATTGTGTCTTTTTTTTTTTTTGTAAGGTTGCATCAAAGGTGGTTGCAGCTTGTTCTTTGTTTCTTTGCACATGATCATCTGTAGCATTTCTCCTAAAGCATTAAAATCACACATGTTCAATATGTTTTTTTTTTTAACCTGAGATGCAACTGTTCTGATTTATGTTTGTATTCACCACCACCCCTGACTCTGCAAGGAAACCTTGCTCTTAAGATTGGCTTATCAGAAGCTATATGTCTGTGGCTGCTGTCTTCAGAGCATGTAGTATTGTCTGTTCATGGATTTCAGAGAAGTCTTTCACCTGATCTGCTTTGTTGAGGTGCTAACTGTATGTGTTCAGAATACTGTTCTTTATTCGTGGCAAGCTGTATTGGATCCAAGTACTGAGAAAGTGTCCTAATAACTTACATTATTGACCCACAACAGATAAATTGACCCTAGCTTTTTTGTTCTTCCTTTCTTCTTTTTCCTCCTTTTCTTTGCCTTTTTTGGTCAAGAGACCAAAGCAATTTGATACATTATTTGGCACCATCTTTGGTCCAAATACAGTTTTAACCAAGGAGGGAAATAGAGATTTTCTCTGAATGTGCTTGCCATTGCTTAAAAGAAGATTATACTGCTTATAACCTGACTCTGGTCTGACTTTGGTAATAGCCATGTTTTGTGCCTGCTGTATGGTATATTACTTTAAAAACGTGTAGACCTTTTGTCTTACAAATTTCTAGAGGAATTTAAAAACTTATTCTGTAAAGGAACAAAGCATGCAAATGAGTTTATACACATGCTTCCATTTTGAATATTGCTGTGCAGATGCTCTGCATGTGAATTTGCACACAGGTTATTTTCTTCTTTATCATGACAGAATGCACAATTATTTCTTTAATTAGATTGAAGAGCTGCTGCTTCATTCCTTATTAACTTATCAGTTTCCCCAGCCAGGCTTACGTTTCTTTCTGACTAAATTTCTCATGTCAGATAGTTGTCACTGATGCTGGAAATGGTGAAGAGGTAAATAAGACAGCAGTTTTTTTTAAATTATTTCAAGCAGATTTGCAGATATCAGACACGCTTAGAAAGAAATGACTCAAACCTTAACATACAGGTGTATATTTGAAGTGTTAGTTGATCCATCTCCAGAAACCGAGAGCTTTTGCAGCCAGCTATGGTGTTGTCTTCAATTGCTTTTGCAAGATCACTTTTTTATTTTTCTCCTTCTGTTTGTTAATGGATCTCAGACTTTACATCTCTTAGTTAAGTGTACAAATAGCTGAAGTGGTCTACCTACTGACAGCCACCAAATGGGAAAATAATATTCTTTCTTAAAGAAAGCATAGACCAGTCAGCTTCCCTAATGATGAGTTATATTAGAAGCCCAAGTTAATCTCATCTTAAACTTCATCTTTCCTTTCTCTAATTCCAGTTCAGGAGCAAAATCTAGGTTCTCAGTACTTGAAATGAAATCCTAAAATGGTGGTGTCATTTTCCTAATCACCAGAACTTGCCATCTGTGTAATTCCAAAGGTAGGAAGGAGCCCTTTGCCTAGGCTGCGGTGATCCATACATCAGTCAGGAGTGTTTGGGGAAACTGTTTCCCTGACCAGGAGATCTCCTGCAGGTAGAGGTGCCATCAGCCAGGGTAACTGACCATAACACACTCTCACTGAAATACAGAGATAGAGACAAGTGCAATTGTTGAGAAGTATCTCCAGTGATGAATGTCACCCCAGTGGCTTACCTGTTGCCCATTATCAAGTTGGTTTGTATTTTATGATACCAGCCAGACCAGTCTTAACTTTTATTAAACTAGTTATACATAGCCCTGTAGATATATCAGATATGATGATGTGTTATACCTGCTGAATGCCTGTCTGGCAATTATCCAGAGAGCATTAGACAAAAATATGTTGAAAGCATGATGTGGCTTTTTAATGCACGATAGAGCCTCATTTTATGAGGCGTGTTAATTATGTAAAATGTCTGTTAAAAGAGTGTGCAGTGAAGGGAGGGATCAGATTTTGTCAGAACTTGTTAAAATGTGTTCAGAATGATGTAGTGTATGGGGCAATGTTTGAAGCAAATAATACATACAGCAAAGTAAGTAAAGAGAAGCTGTCGCTAGAGTTTTCTTTCCATTCCTTCATTTAGTGATCTTATCTTTCTGTCTGGTTTTCACTTGTGATTCTATCTGTATTTTTTCTCACATTAGGACAATATGTGATTTCTTTACCATAAGACACCACCTTTAGTACAGAGTTACTTAGTGTTTCCCACTGTATGTTTGTCTGCTTTGTTTTCCAGGAAGCCATTGTATGGTTTGTTTCAATACAATTCCAGTATGATTGGACTAGAATCATTAGCTGATCCTTCAGATACCTGGGAAATTATAGAGACTATTGGGAAAGGCACTTACGGTAAAGTCTATAAGGTTGCCAATAAGAAAGATGGGAGCCTGGCAGCAGTAAAGATTCTGGATCCTATCAGTGTAAGTAAAAAATATTAAACTGTAACTTCATTCTTAATTTAAAAGAATTTTCAGAGTTGAAGTGTAAATCAAATGTCTAAGATATTGAAAGCATCCTGAAGAGAACAATTTTGCAGAATGCATTGACAGAAGAAGTTTGGTACCATCACCTGAAAGCTGCAACTTACAGTTTCATCATCTTGTAGGTTGTTTGAAGACAGCATGTGCCTAGTTTCTTTTTTATGTCTGTGTAATTCTTCTGGTACAAATTTAGATATTTGTGCTTGAAGCATGCAAATGATAAGAAGGCACAGAAGCATTCCTCTTAGGCATCTGCTATAGCAGGGAAAATACAAGATGCTGTTAATAGTAATGTTCTTATTTTATTCTGTGGACTCCCTAAAAATGTTACTTTTCCTATCACAGAAGTACTGTGAACTTTAGGATATTTTATAGTTATCTTTTATATATAGTTATCTTTTCTATAGTTATGGTTATCTCTTATATAGTTACCTTTTCTATCTTCTATAGTTATCTAAGTGGATAATACTGCAAGGCAATAGTTAAGATAAAAAGGGAAGAAGAGCACAGCCCAAATTCTCAGAGGTAGTTCTGTGCCAGCTCTAGTTTTAGTAGATATTAAATGCCTCGCTTCCCTGGAGAGCCAAGGCCCTAGTTTTCAATGGAAGATTTAATTGGCAGATGCTTAGGTTGGATCAAGCTGGAGTTTGATTACTGACAGCTGGGCTAAAATATTTACTAAAAAAAGTTATAATTGTCATCTACCACTATCTTGGTTTTTTCTTGTAGAAATCTGAAGGAGGTAATAAATAAGATGATAGCGTTTTTAGCAAAATGGAAAAAAGGAAAATGCATGTAAGAGCTTAAATTTTCTAACGGTCACACTCTGTGCAGAAACAAGGAAAGATTCAGTGCTTAAGGACTGTTCTGAGTTATGGCTTGTGTCCTAATATTAAACCGCGTTTTGTAATTGTCACAAAATCCTTTCATTAACAAATATTTAGAAACATTTGCTTATTTCATGGATTTTGTTTTGTCTCCCTGTAGTCATTTCTGGTGTACCTCTTTTCGTCGTAAGAATGTCTTTGTTTTCACTGATGTCTCCTTTGAGGTTTTGTGAAATTGTTCTGTGTTTGGTCACATCTGATGACCATAGAAAAAAGAATGAATCAAAGATTCATGTATTTACATTTAGATTACCTATTAAAAAATATGCATGTTTAAAAATGGGATAGAAAATAATACATGTATAAATTTGTTACTTAGACAACTGAGCAAAGTATAATTTTTACTTTTCTGGTTGAGTATGTTATGCACTGAAAGAATCCTTGAAGAACAACTGCTTTACACAGACTTCACATTTTGTAGGCAAAAAAAGCAAAGGTGGCACGATTTGGTGTGGATTAAATTTACAGTGTTATGTGAGTACTTTCACTTGCATTAAAGTAGAACTCTTTAAAAGTACAAACTAATTAAAAATGGTTCTTTTTATCCATGAGAGTTTGTTCTTGCTTTGTACGGACTTACTGTGTTTATGTTCTGTGTGTTTGTGTTTTTTATTTAGGATGTAGATGAAGAAATTGAAGCAGAATATAATATTTTGCAGTTTCTTCCCAATCATCCTAATGTTGTTAGATTTTATGGGATGTTTTACAAAGCAGATCAATATGTGGGAGGACAGCTCTGGCTAGTACTAGAGGTAAAAAAATTTTGATAACATTACATCTTAACTAGTAAATGTTATTGGGTTTCTATGGTTTTTTTTTATTGCTAGAAGAGTCACAGGCTTTCATGATTCTCTGATTGGGGCCATTAATCAAAGGACTAGAGATGATGTGCGGTAGCCTACTGTTGAAAATCACATCCAAACTTAAAGTTTGTTTGATAGGGAGTGTCCTTGCATTTTATTTCTGTTCAAGCTGCTACATTCTGCCTCCAAAACAAGCAAATCCTTTTGACAGCTTGATTTTTTTTCATGTTGGACGAAACATCAGATAAGCCATTTCTCTAAATTTTTGGAGAGCTCAAGCGCTTGAGGGGAATGCAAAAGATGATTTAGTAGTAACGTGGAGGACAGTTAACAAACATGCAAAAGTGAACAGAAAAAACGTTATAGGAAAGTCTTTTTTATGGTAATTTAAAACTAGAGTCTGGTTGTTGAAAACCTAGCAACAGAAATTCCTTCTATTAACTCTTCTTGTGTGGTGGCAATCAGTATTCTTGCAATGAAAATGTATTTTGTTGCGACTTGAGTGACTGACAAAGATTGTTGTAAGATGAAGATTTCTTCTAGATGTTTTATAGGCTTAATTGATACAGGGCTGTGCACAGACTGATGAGCAGTAACAGACTGTTCAAATGTTCTCTCTAACTAGACCAGTAAAGTTAGCATTCACTTTTTAATTACTGATCACTTTAGAAGTTCCACTCCCTTTTCTTCAATAGTGACTGGAATCAGAATAGAGAATCTTTATTTCCACCTTAAGTTGAGGAATCCCAACAATACATCTAACTTCTATGTACTGCAGAATTATGTAGCTTGAATGAAAAACCTTTGGATGTGTTTCCTCTTAAATGTCAGTAACTATTAAAGAAGGAGCTTTGGTATTTTTGTTCTGGTGTAGTTTTTTACTGTATGCTGCTGGCTTTGTGTTGAGTTTGGGCTTGGTTTCCCATGTGTTTTCTTTTTTAATACAAGTGTAGCATATCCAACAGATGCATCACATGTGCTATTCCATATAACAAAATTTTGTAAAGCAGAATTGTGACAATGTATGTAACAAAATTGAATGTAGAATTTAAGAGAGTTAGGTGTTTGTACCTTATCAATTAAGTATGTTCAGTTCAAGTGTGTTTTTGTGCACATTATCCAAAGTTTAAAAAAAAAATTAACATTAAAAAAATAGTGTTTTCCTTATATGGATAAATTTACAAGGCAAGCTATTTCTTGCCTTGGAATTTACATGCAAATTTATGCACAGCAGTTACTTTTTATATTATAAATTAATGACGTTTTTTAGTAAAAGGGAATATACAAAGTACTCAGACTTTGATCCTGAGTCTTTGATGAAATACATTCATCGGATGTGTGACTTCCAAAATTTGTAATAAAATGGTGGATTTTTTTATTTCCTTTAGGCGCAATTTTGCCATTTTTCCTCACTGCAAGCAGGACGTTACTTTGATAAATGCCTAGGATGAGGAAGAGCAGCAAAAGTGGACATCTTTGTCCACTTTGTATGATGATGCAATTCTCACATAGTTGTAGTGTAGACAACTGTAAAGTAAGCTTCACTACTTTTCTATCTAAATATGCATCAGTCCACTTTTTAAACTATTACCATTAGGTACAAAGTGATAATGAAGTTTACAAGTTCATTTTGTCCCAGATCTTTGCTGGCTGTCAAGAACAGTGTCACTGACAGCTGCAGTTGTGTTTGTGGGTTATATTTATTTTCAGACTCAGTTATTCATTTAACAAATGCTACCAAACAACTGTCAGTCTGTATCATTTTTCAGTCACAACCAGCTTGGGGGTTTTTTTTGAAGTGAGGGCATATTTTCCTATATTTTATTTGTAGGCTAGAGATAAGCTTAGGACAGCCTGTCTCAACCGAACATTTAGTGCAGTGAAAGCAATAAACAAAAATCTTTGACATTATGGCTTGTCAGCAAATGGTTAAGCATGGAAAGAAAATCATGCACTTTCTTTCACAAGGTGATTAAGTTCTCCTATAAATACATTTGATGACTGATATTGAGCTGAATGCTCCCATGCTCCCACCCAATTGATTAAAAAAAAAAAAATTTAAAATTCCCTTCTTTAAAAAGTAAAGTCAAATTCCTGCAGAACCTATCAATGTTTTCACTGATGAAATTTTGCTTCAGGAACTTATTTACATAAAGGATGTCTGGTTTATCATGTGATCTGATCCTTTCCATGAACTAAAACTCTTAGTCATGTGAAATTTTTTGATGCAAGGGGAAGTCAGTAATAAATGAAGGAAAATATCGATGTATCACAGAAATTAGGGATTGAACTGATACGCAATTGGTAAAAGTTCTTTGAGACATGCAAAACTTGGGAGTTTGTAGAACTTCTGTTTTCATACCCTTCTCCTGATTTACACTGCAGTATTTTAAACTTAATACGGATAATGTAAAATGAACTTCTGTTGAAATGCATGTGATTTCTGTATGGCAGAAACATTGTTAAGTGTGCTGGCTACAAAAACAAGTCTAGAGGAGAAAATTCTATGAAAGTAGGGCAATCAATTCTCCCAACAATTGTGGATATTGAAGTAAAGAAAGAGGACAGCTGTGGGAATGGACAGTAAACTAATGGTCTGGGTGAAAACATTTGCAAAGATTCTAATTTTACTTTTTCTCCTTGTCTTTTTTTGTATGGCAGCCCATTAATGGGAAATGCTTGCAAGAACCTGTTTTTCTCAATCAGAATGTTTCATTTCAGTTGTTAGCAGCACATGCCATCAAATTGGACTATAGAGATATGGCTTCTGCGTACTTTATATTGCCTGCCAGCAGGAGCATTGATGGAGTGAAAGTTTAAAATGACTGTCATTTGTTGCTTCCCAGTTATCAAGAGCATCGATCTTTTCTGTCTGTCCTTTTCTTTGCACAGAAGCAGTTTTTCAAAAAGACAATGCATGTATTATTATTAAAATACTTAAATTGAACATATAATTTGTCTTTTAACAGCAAAATACAGTCCTGTTCGTAATATTTTGATTTTTAGTTACATTTTGTAAATTACACTTTATAATCTTTGGTTTTCACTTCCCTCCCCCCACTCAGGCTGCTGTGATTTATTATTAACATTGCTAATAAAATATGTTCTAAGGTGGGGTGACAACATAAATAATTGCAATGTAAAAATCTAGTTGGTCGCAGACTGGTGTAGTACAGCTTTGCATGGTAGGCATTCGCAGACTAAAAAAGTATATTGAGTAACTGAGGACTTGTCTTGCTTTTTTCCCCCCGCTCACCACTCTCGCTTCACAGCTGTGCAATGGAGGTTCTGTGACAGAGCTTGTCAAAGGCCTGCTGAAGTGTGGCCAACAGTTGGATGAAGCTCTAATCTCATACATCTTATATGGTGCTCTCTTGGTAAGGATGTTCATTGGGCTTGTAATGACAGCAGAGGGTGCCATTTACTTCTCTCATACATACATTTTCCATTTATAAAGTATGGTAATGTTGACAATACTATGTGGGCTATTATAGCAGCAGGGGTTGTATCAAGCATGTAATCCAATGGACAGATGTTTCTATAGAGTATGTGCAGATTGTCTTCATTACATTCCCTAATAACAGGGTAATTGTTTTTAAATAAGGGAGTAAACTTATTTTTGTTACTGCTGGTATATAGGGCCTTCAGCATTTACACAATAACCGGATCATTCATCGTGATGTGAAAGGGAACAACATTCTCCTGACAACAGAAGGTGGAGTCAAGCTCGTTGACTTTGGTAATGACCACTTCCCATTTGTTTTCCTGATACATGCAGTTTAGCCAAAGGCATCTGTTTACATTCCCCTGGGAAGGCATAATATCATAGTGAGAGACTATTTCAGAAGGATACTCTGATTATTTTAAGAAGGAAAAATGGAGAAGGAACCCGATACAGCAAGAATAAAACTTCTAACCAAAAATCAGTAATTAATCAGTAATTTTTAACTTAAAAACTTAAACTTAATAATTTAATAATCAAAACTAATTCTGGAGGTACCATTTTATTTACAGAGCTCTTTTGCATTTCACAAAGAATGTCAGTTTCAGGGCAGTTGTCCTCCTAATTTAAATTTAGATATTCTGTCTTTTGCATATGAAAAGGAAACATTCTTCTCTCTGAAATGGCTTTTTCTAGCCTTAAGCATATTTTTTTGCCTCTGAGCAGAAGGTAAATGGTCCCTTGGGTCCAAAACCCAACATCCATTTAATTTGTGATTATTGCTGCTAGATTTGAGCAGTGCCAGTCAGGAAACATAAGAAACAGGAGAGACAGAGAGATAGGTAGATAGAAGTGGACTTTGCAGTAGAACTTAACTCAGTTCAGCAATTTTTTTTCCCTTTAAACATGCACTTAGAAAAATAAGGGAATGCTCTAGTCTCTCAGATACGTATGCAATGGAATGGACAATTTTATTAAAGGTAACAAACAGATTATTAGTTATATGATTTATTAATGAAACCATATAATGTATAAGGTAATAGTCATTGAGAATAGTGTGTGAATAACAGATGTTTGTTTAGCAGTGCATGAAGGTAAAGAGAAACGCTCACAAAATGATACAAGTGTAAAATGGCATGCTAAAAAATTCTGCAAATAGTCATATTAAAAAATACTAAATCTATGTAGTAGAAAAAATTTAATACTGATGTTGTCATGGTGGTATAAATTTAACATAAAAATCTATTGAAGATGCTAAAGAAAGTTGGGAAACAATAGACTCTTTGATATCTTCTAAGGACAGAAATTCATTACATTGAGTGGCAAAGGTAACAATTAAAATAGTGCTGGGAGAACCATATGGCCTGAAGCAAAACTTGGAGTGAGTCCCTGACCTAGTACAAGGGAGGAAGATCGCTTCTCATCTGGGAAATTTTGGCAGTATGATCTTTGTTTGTAACTGCTCCATTCTGGGAAAAGTTGGCTTTTCTCCCCAAAGCAAAACACTTTTTTGGATGAATCAAAGGCCATAGCTGCAGTGGAAGCTCAGCTGGGAGCTCTGGCTTCCAAAGGCAGATCAGTGTGTTGCAACTCCAAGTGGCACATTGAAGGAAACTGAAAATCCCAACATTTCTGGTGTCCCATGGGTCTCTCTGATTCCACATTTAGGTTTTAGAGGGGAGGCATCTACATTTTAAGTTACAACAGTAACACTAGAAAACTACAACAAATATGACTACCTCAGAAAAAGATATGACTTAAATCTTGAGTGTTTCCTAACACTTGACAGTTAGGAAGCACCAAGAAATGCCCACGTATCTGTGGGCTTCCTGATTAAAGAAGCATCAGACACCAAACTTTCATTAAGTTGCTGTTTTTCCTCTCTAGCCCACTGCCATAGTCACAGAAGGGACTCTGGAGTTCAGGAAGAGAAAGGACTTGCAGTTCAGGCAGTTGAATGGCATCAAATTGGAGACTATTCTTGCTTCTGCCAGTGTTTGTGATGTTGGCAGGTCACTTGCATCAAATTTTTTATAAGTGGCCATTCTGCTCCTCATTTTCCCAATAGCCAATCTGAAACATCTTGTCCTCCTTTGCAGAAGAGCTAAGTGCTCTTGAACTGCAGCTGAGATCTCTTACAGCTCTGCTTGAGGCATGTGGAGTGCCTGAAAACTGAAAGAACTCAGATTAAGTACCCAAAACCAGGGGATGCTTTGGATATTTTTAGGTTAATCCCTGGAACTAATAATCCTCTCCCATTTTGCAGGAATGTTAAGGAGATTTATTGTTTGATGACAAGGGAAGGAAACATGTCCAAAGGAAAAGAAAATAATACTTTTAAATTTAGTATAGGATTGGGTGTACTAAATAAGTAACTAGGACTCAAATTGATGGGGATAAAAAAAAGAATTAAATGACTACCTATTCAGTGAATGTTGTCCATTCTATCCACAGAATGAGACAGAATCTTGAAGAAATAAAAAAAAGTTACTTCATATTCAAGGCTGTACATCTGGATATTAGGTCACAGAGAGGGTTACACAGATATTCTTAATTGAGAAAGCAAGTTGTGAAGTTATGCAATAAAGGCAAAAAAAAAAGGCACCTCAATGTAACATACACTTTTTCCCTCAACTGCTCTTGACAGCATAATATATTGGAATAAATGTTGGTCACAGTGTAAGTCGACCCAAAATGCCTGCAACTTATCATTCATTTATGCTCATGCTTGCTCACTCTCTCCCATTGTCTCCATCTCTTAGCTCTTTGGTATTGTGCACTGTTTTAGAGTGTCTGTAGATAGCAGCCTCAAATTAAGCTAGCTGAAGAGAGATCAGAGTTAAATGCCCAGAGGCTTGATGTAGGCCCTAGCCATTAACTGTTTCACAGTGGCACTCAGGAAATCACTGAAGGCTTGCAATCAAACTGAAAAATAAACACAGAATTGAATCTTGGAGCCAGCAATCAAATTATTTAATTTATACATTATGAGTCCCAATTTCTTATTTATTGGCATCAGGCAACGTGTATTATGTGTTTCTTCCCATTTTTAGTCTCTGGATAATGCCGTAGGAGCAGACCACTGTGTTTTTTGTTTTTAAACAAGATTAAGGTGAAATATGTTTTTTAAGTCAATATTGGTTTTGTGTTAATCTATTGGAATGCTCTTGAACCGCACAATTATATGTTGAGCAGAGCACAGAAGAAGATTTGCTGTGAAAGTTCATTCTTATTTGTTAATGTTGTTTGATTTCACTGTAGTTCATTCTTTCTTTTTTCATTTGTGCTTCAGTAGTCCAGCCCCAGTCAGCAAAGCACTGAAGCACGGGCTTTGTTTTAAGCATGTGCTTAACTCCCTAAGTACAAGCTGCAGTGTGAGCTTGAGCTTCCATGCTTTTCTCAATAGGGAA